TACCGTAGCGGTTATTGGCACGATGCCAACGGGAAACTCGTCCGAAATTGCTCCCTGTGTAGTGTAGGACAAAGGCTGTTTTTTGCAGATTCTAGAGCGTTTCACTTCTATTTTTCACCATTTTGCCACTATATGGCACCCCTGCTACCATTTTAGACCGAGCACCAAATTATCGTACGTTATGCCTTTGAAATGCGCCTGAAATTGTTTATTACCGGTTGTAGCGAGGAATACAAAGGGTCAACACACGTGCGGGAGGAGCATGATTTTAGAATTCGTTTCTACTTTCAGTCACTTTTACTTGTTTTTTACCAAATGTGAGTAAAAATGACAAAAGCAAAATTTCTGCTGTACATCTGAGTGGAACAACTGGGATAGCTTCATTTCAATTTTTTTTGATGTGTTTCCGGACTTTAAGCCCGTGCAAGGGGCCGGTTTCAGTAATCTTAATGGGAACTATTCGAAGACAGTATTTATGGCGCCTGGACGGCAAGCAATAGGTCTGGTTTTATGCCTTAAAATAGTAATACACGTTCCCATTGTATCTGATGAGAAAAAAACCTGTCAGAGACCGTCTGTTGGAGCCTTTAGGGAGTTCTACTGAGGTTCTGGTAATTCTTTTATCTAAGTTTAATTCAATTGCGCACTCGAATATTTCAAAGGATGAGAGATAAGTTTTAGCGGTTGATCAATCTATTTCTAGAATACAGCATGCATTCTACTTTCGTTCAATATCGTAGTGGCTTACAGAATGCAATTTGACTTATACACAACGACACACAATGACTTGCGGGACTCATCCGACGTAGAGGTTAGTGTTCTTATCCTTCCAAACAAACCTGATCACAATCTACCTTCCCGGGAAGATAGAAGGCTCGATTGGCTCCCCCTAATACCTCACTCTCACAATTCGGATTGGAGAGTGAGCTACATACAGGGGGGCCAAAAAAAAAGTCATTTTGCCTCCATGACTTTCAAGGCGCTATAAGTTACACTTTATTAAATTTTTATCGGACATTTTTACTACCATATTAAAGAGCACATTAAATACTATAATGATACTCCGCCACAGCCTTCTGGAGGAGCGCCATCGAGAGATTCGGCCGCGCGAAAGTGAGTGGGTACCGGAGTTGAGCGAGATCGTCGATTTCTCCGCCACCGTAGACCACCCTCTTGAAGTCCGCCCGAGCTAAGTAATTGAGTGGGTTCAGGTCAGGGACATACTTTAATATTACATCTTCTTCAGGTACGAAACGCCCTTCCATTCGAAGTAGGCGGGAGTTTTTCCAAAACCCTTTGATTCCATGTGGTGGCACCCAAACCTGTAGCAGCACAAGGTCTCCAAGAAGGTACGGGCGACCAACAATGTAGGGAGGATATTCTTCTCGAGTTACTTGATGTAACCGCCAGCGCTCACCTTCAGTCGGGGTCTACAAAGAAAATATCGGTCTTCCCCTTTCCAGGTACCCCGGTCCATACCATCAACTCGCGCCTCGGCGAATACGGTGAAGATGATGTCCTAACGTTGCCGTAGCTGCTCGATGTGGGAGGTCTTGCAGATCAAGAGTACTGGTCTCCAGGTAGCTATCCATGGGTGATTCCATTCAAGAAGTTCCGCAGCTGTTTGGAGGCGACGTGAATTCCAAAGGTGTTCTCCAGTCAGGCCGCGACTGGAGATGACTTCATATTTTGGCGTACATGAAGGCGATTGGCGGCAGCGTGCTCCAGCTTATAGAGGAAGATCTTGGGTATCTTCCACCCTGGTACTCATATCCACTTCCCCTGTCTGGGCTGCGAAAACTTCGTTGATATGTGGCTCGGCCGAAATGACTTTTTTTTGGCCCCCCCCCTGTATATCAGTTCGCTGTGATCGAAGGGCTGCAGCAGTCTGGAGTGTGCTACGGCCGCCAAATTCCCGTTCTCCGCCAGTTGTTGAAGAGAGGTATGCGACAAAAATCATGAAGAAACAAGTGGAGGGGTGGGAAACGGGCTCAGCACCGTGCCAAATTCATCCAGCCTAACCGGTCACGCCCCTCCGTCCGTAACTAAACTACACTTTAGTAGGGGGCTACTAGCTAGTAGCCAGCGGGTTTCGCATGGGCCTGAGGGGTGCTCATGGGCCTAACCGTAGCTTGCACCTGATTTCTTGCACATTTTCACTTTGCGTAGTGCAGCATTTACAATCGCCTACCGGATCATCTGATACACATGTGGGAGATTATAGTCTTAGTTTATCACGGAACATTCCTCAAGAGACGATTCTAGATGGGTACCCATGTAGACGTTTACCTATCAGATAGATCGCGCCATCACAGCTCGGCCCTTGATTTATGTGTGTGTTAGTAAATGCTAGTCTATAGCGCGTCACGAGAATTCATGGATAGAGCCTTAAGGGGGTCATGACTTAATTGTGGATACATTCGGCGATGTCCTGAAATGAGTAGGTTATTAGGAGCTTAAAATGGATGACGATACTCCTCTGGAATTAATTCGATGAAATCTATCTATGGTTGGGAAATCGCTCACATTCGGATCTCATGGTGCTCCTTGCAATGCATTCAATTTTGCCCATGAACGATTTCCGATTTCTCACTAATATCTCGGTTACGGTCCTCTCGCATTCTTAAACGCATACCTCAAGATGTGATCCACTATCTTCCTAACTCTCTTGGCAACGACCCGACCACCCCAAATTGGGTTCGTCGAGTGGCGGTGGATTTACCTCTGTCACTGGAGCGTGGGAACCTTATTGCTGAACGGTACATCAGTACTGTCTGCTCGCATTAGTTCCATTCGAGGAATCTGATAGTGAGATCGGAGGCAGAATTCGTGATGAGCCGTTGAGAAGTTTGTAGGTAGCGGGGTTGAAGGATAACAGTGTGTGCATACTGGACTTGCCGAAGAAAAAAAAGCATAGAAGCGCTCCAGATAAGGCCCTCTTTGTCTAAAGAATATATGTGGTTTTCGGAAGAGAGACTAGACAAGGGCAGCGAGAGAGCATGCAAACGAGTAAAACGACAGATGCGACATCCATCGAAGCGGGTGGAATCACTGGCTTTGCTAACGGAGTCACTTGAGCAAGCCTTGCGCCTTGACTCCCCTACCTTACAAATTTTTGACAGGCGGACATCGCACAAGGTGTTTTGTGTCGGTACACTTTCCCTATAGGAACTGAGTAGCAGAATATTTTATTCGCGAAGGCGCATGCTAAACAAACAGTCTAAATAGATGGAAGGTTCTAATTCAAAGCATCACTAATAAAAAACAAACCGAGGCTGTGAGCTCAAGTCCGATCCCGTCTCGTTCAGGTTGGCTTCCACCCATCGTGCCAGGTATACGCCTTCATTACTTATGCCACGGTATGCTCGTCAGCCCTCGCATCTCTGATCTTCGAGCTGCACGCTGAGTGTCTCTGCGTCTCTCTGGTCACCTCATACTCGCCCGGATAATATATGTGTACAATTCATATTCAACCCTTTTATCCACGACTTGAAATCGCGGTCCGACGGAGAAAAGTGTAATCGCTTGCTACAAGTGTGCCTCGCATCGAGAAAGATTGAGCCTGTATCTGGCAGAGATCTAACGAAATAGTTGGTTCAGCATTCCTAGACTTAAACTTGGAACCAAGGGAATCTTATCGTACCTTTCCCGATGTGTCGAGTATTTCTAGATGCGCTGGCTTGCCGTTGTACATCAACGTCTTCTTGTGTCGGTCCTCAATCGTTGGGTCATAGACTTCAGTGTAATCACCGGAAACGAATCGTCGTATCTGAACATTAAACTAGTTCACTCAAATTTCATATCCTGGAGACAAGGGGCGTGTCTGCGTTCTACATCTGAACGCAGGAGGCGGGGGGGGGGGGGGGGGGGACGGGACACGTAGCGTACATTTTATAGCTATTTTGAGGCCTTCAATGACCTGAATGTTTTACTAAACAGAGCTCAAAAACAGTCTCTTTCAAAACTCAAGTGCTTTACGTTCTTCTCTGAAAAATCTATAGAGAGCTGACAAGCACCGAAAAGAGATGAAGAGGAACTAAAAATCACTGCGGCAATTCTGGGCCTCAAATTTTCAAGTTTGAGCTTTGACTCAAGGGTGATTTTTAGCTCATGATATTGTGCTTCATTTCACAAGTACACGTTGGATCCGTGCGTTCATTGCACGTGGCAGGAAGTTTAGGGCCCTTTCGTCATTAAGCTAGGCAGACATCCCGTCTACCGCCCATTAGTCAACTTTCATTGGATTCTTGTCATGTTTTTGCTACTAACTAGAATACTCTCTTACCAGATCGTGTTATCACCAAAATGGGTGTAACATTCCAGTGTTTGTTACAGAGTTACAGATAGGTGACATAAAAAAGGCATGCGCTGCGATGACTAATCAATGGTAATCACACTGAATCAGAAGTGGTTACGCTTAATTACACCAGATAAGTATGAGTAAAGTCAGTCAGTGCACGGCAGGACGGCCGAAAACGGTCGCACTCATTCGAGTTTGGTGCTACGGGTGTATATCGTGAGTGTTGAGTGTTATTTCCCCGGGCACGGCGAAACAGGCGTTGAAATTGGCGTGACGTACGCAGCATCCGCACCAGGATCCAATACTCTCAACAAGGATGAGGGGCTGCGCATCGCTCGTTTTTTCAAGTCAACTATTGCAATGCTGCAGCTGGGAAACAAGATTCCATAACTTTATTTTTTCGTTACTGGAGAGAATGGAGACGCCTTTCATATTGGCTCAGAGGAAATCACATGGATCATCCAACCATATCCCATTAGAGCGCCTGTACCAGCTGTAGAGAGATCTCCGGCTACTTCGTGACTTAAAGGCAGTCTCTCTGCACGGTATTTGGTACACTGCCTAAAATGCTAGGCCAGGCGCTTAGTGGGACGAAGCGAAGAAAATCGAAAAAAAAACAATGTGAAAACCTATCGAAGAAAACCATTCCTTCATAAGACTACAAAGCGCGGTTTCGGCGACTTTCTCGTGGTCACCTGCCAATCAATCGATAAATACGTATGGCTCTACTATGTACTCATATATCCATCAGCACATCATCCGCTTCATTCCAATCCGTTCGCTATTCAATTTTTCTCAGCAAGTGAAAGCGCAATATCGAGCATCAGTAGCTGTCGTCCATTTGGGGGCGGCGGCGTCGATATGTTGTAAGCTTATAGGACTCTATAAGGGTCTTCCTTGCGAAAGCGCTGGATTCGTCCTGGCCAAGGCATGTTTTACTAAACTCGTCTAGGGATTAATCGTGCTAACTAAACTGCCTGTCCAAGTAAATGCAACCATCTAACAAAATGGCCTTCTATTACCTGCAACCCTCAGTCTCACTCATTCTGAGAGAAATATATCTACTGCCCTAGCAAGTGGCTGCATACCACTGGTCACAATCAGGGCACGCTATCGTTGTGATGACCACAAGGGAGGGGTCGTATTTGACCGCGAGGGAGGAGGGTCGTATTGTTAGTTCGAGAAAATATTTTTGTAGTTGATCTGCTTCGGTTGTTGGGAGGGACGCTGCCAAGATGTAATACAATTCCTCTTCCGCATAGTCCGGAAATAATGATTAATCCCGACGAACGCTCTGCTCTCCCCCCCCCCATCCCAGGCCCTTCCCCCTACTGCTCAACGGAAAATGCTTGGCTAAAAGGAAATTTTTCGGGTAAAAATGGAAAAAGTGGTAGGAAGTTGGGGAAATCTAGGGAAGTGGTAGGTAGCTAGGTAGCATGAGGAGGAGGGGTCGTATTCGGGGATGGAATTAGGGAGGTCGTATTTTTCAGGAAATGATCACAACGCGATGGCGTGCCCTGGTCACAATGGTGATTACACTATTAATTGTTTGTTAAAGCGGCGAAATAACAAAAAAGTTATAGACCAGAAGGCTTTATCAAATGAGCTCAGAGAGGTACTTACAAATGCTGTCTTTCCACATGCTGCCGCTCCAAAAACGGCTATTCGATACTGCCGCTTCATCGCCGTTCGCCGTGGACCTTCTGTTAACTGCTCTTGACTGAATGGATTCAAAAAATCTGAAAACACATGGCTTTTGTTGTACTATCTTTGCTGATTCCGAACGCACTCAGTAAAACAACCGTTTTGTAAAACGTGACTGCGATATGTAACCTCAACTCTGACCACCCAGAAAAATTTATTAGAGCTTGCTAGGGGCTTTTCGCGATTAACCGCATAGAACAGACGTGGCATCATCTACTAACTACCTGTTCCTCCGGTACATATTCACAAAATACCTTGAAAGGGAGTAGTACAGTTCTGTGGAGGACCACAGACACCAGCACTGCAACGTGTTGCTTTTCAGGTGAGGAGACCTTGTATGAGAATGCATACATGTATCTATAAAGTAATAGAAGCCCACAGATGCAATGAAAACATATCAAGTGGCGGTCGCAGTTTCGGCGAAGCCGGGGGGGGGGCACTTTTGCAACTTCCACAGCTCTCTGGTTCGTTTATAAATGTCACTCTTTGAAGACTGTAAATCTGTGGGGCTGGAGCAAGCTGCGTCGAGTACTGTGCTAAACCCTGTAACTCTTAAAGGCCACTTTCATCGGCGAATAAAATAAGGCTATGACCTTTCAAATGTGTCAGACGATCCGGAAGGAGATTGCGGAGGCTGCGCTACCTTTAGAAAGTGAAAATCGGCAAGAATTCCGCTTCAAGCTAACCAATTAGGCCCATTGGCGCCCCTTAGGCCCATGCCGACCCCCACCGGCTGCTAGCTACTAGCTAGTAGCCACTATGCTATCTCTCTCCATTCCGAATGGTGAGAGTGAGGTGATACGATAAAAGAGCTGATATCTTTATGATAACGACGAGTGGAAATTCGTACAAACATGCGTTTTCTTCATTGCATGCATGTACAAGTTGGGGTCGATATGGAAATCCTATTTAGGCATTTTCGGCTGTTTTTCCGCTGCTTTTCTCCGCTAATCAGATACCTAGCCCTTCTTCGTTCCTATGTGGGTTCCGTTACCCACAATCTGTGGTCGCGGGCTTTGCCTTAAGCTCATGTAATAGTTCTCTAGATGGCTCCACAAGTTGATGGGAAGTAGCAGAGGGGCGAAACGCATCCCCTACCCCTCACCCCGTCGCAGAGCTGCCCACACTTACCGCTTTCACAGCAATAGATTTTTTTCAACGAACTGGTATTGCATAAAGATAATAGATAAAGATTTTTATGTAACAAAATCTATGTTACAGAATTTTGAGTGAAATTTTAGAGCGACCCACGAGAATCCGTTGAAATAAGAACGAAGGGAAACCATGGAACCGTCCAAGTGAAAACTTCCAAGGACACAGGTGCGTATCAGTTATTGATGATTTGATATGACAATCATGACTGGAATGATTGAACAAGCCGTTCGTTGGTAGGCATTCCACGTAAACTGTGCGTTGTTTCATGTGGCACTTTATAGGCACACGATTCATAGGGTGGAAACTTCGATGACTGCCAAACAGTTCATTGCGAATGCTGGGGCTTGTCAGGGGGGGGGAAGCTGAACTT